GCTCCATTTGCATGGAATAAATTACCAGTCTGGCAAATATTTGTTTATTTATCACATGCACATCCTGTCCTTCCTCTCACAGGAGCCCAGGGCTGAATTGCAGGAATTTAAGTTGTAAAAACGGACACGGGTGGCGCTGTGGTCTAAACCACGGAGCCTAGGGCTTGCCAATCGGAAGGTCGGCAGTTCAAATCCCCATGACGGGGTGAGCTCCTGTTGCTCAGTCCCTGCTCCTGCCAACCTAGCAGTTCGAAAGCACGTCAAAGTGCAAGTAGATAAATGGGTACCGCTCCGCAGGAAGGTAAATGGCATTTCCGTGCGCTGCTCTGGTTCACTAGAAACGGCTTAGTCATGCTGGCCACATGACCCGGAAGCTGTCTGCGGACAAACACCAGCTCCCTCGGCCTATAGAGCGAGATGAGCTCGCAACCCTAGAGTCATCCACGACTGCACCTAACGGTCATGGGTACCTTTACCTTTACCTTTAAGTTGTAAAAAAAAGAAGGATAAAGGTAGATCAAAAGCAGGACTGAAATCAGTCCACCACTTTCATACAGAATTTCAGTTTAGCCGAGCCCCTTTTCCATCAATCAAAATGAGCCGGATGAATTGAAACCCCTTTTTCACCTTCACCTTGGATATCCTTGTGTGTTCAGCCAGAGCATACAAGCGCCATTAAAAAATAAATTGAAAGAGGTGCCCTTGGATATCTTTGTTTCAAAGTGGAATCTGCACTGGTGGGGCAACGCCCCTGAATTAGCTTCAGAGGGGCTGTAGCTCAATGGCAGAGAAACCGCCTTGTATGCAGAAAGTCCCAAATTCAATCCCTGGCATCTCCACTTTGGAATGGGATGCCCAGAACCCCTGGGGAGCTTCTGCGTGTCAGGGTAGACAATGCTGAGTTAGATGGACCAATGGTGTTCCTTTGCATTCTTCTCCCTTTGAAAAGTAAGGGTGCTTCCATATGGCAGCTAAATTTGCAAAGGGGCTATTGAGATATTGCAAACAGGACCTTGGAAACAAGGTTTCCCTGGAAGGAGTAAATCCGGGTTAAATTGGAGGAAACTATGGGCTGGCATTTTGATGACAATGGTGCTGTGTGGATGCTGGGGAAATACTTGCACACCTGAGCAGCGCTGATCCCACAACAAACAGCTGTCTGGACACAATCTGTGATATCTTTGCCAAAACCTTGAATAACTGGAACTGTTAAAATCAAGCACCTTTATTTTCTCTTTGGAGTTGCGCTGTGTCATTTGACCTTGGGCCTTCCAGGCTGTGGTGCTTTGTGGTTTAGATTGTTGATCCTCCCCCCCCCCCCCCCCGTTTGTACTTCTGTTGCACTTGTTAATAAATCAATTTTTAAAATTACAAAGTAAAAATTAAACACCTCCTTTATTCCATCTGCATGTCAAGTCTGGGCAATGAGACCACACAGAGGAGTTATTGGTGCTTCTATAATGCCATTCGAGTTATTCCAGGGCCTGAGTATTCCCCACCCCACGAAAACAAGGAAAAGATTAAATCTTCGTATTTGATCTCGATTTTTAGCTAGGCAGAAGCTTTCAAGATCTGCAGTTTGGGCATATACTCTGCTCTGAGTCTAGCTATATCTGGTGATGTGCTGCATAATATTTTAAAGTTATCGCTCTAACCTCTGAACCCTAAATCTGAAGTGATAGGCATCTTTTAAAATGTCAGAATTAAATATATATATATATATACTTTTACTTCTTACAGCTTTGGGCAAAATCCATAGATAGCAGTGCATGCTTAAATCTGACTGCAACCTGTGGGGATTTAGTGCACTACCATGCGCAACCCAGTCATGCTCTGTCTTGTTACTTATAATTGATTTCATGTTGCTCTGCAACCTAGTATCAGGACTGAGGAAAGATGAGATATAAAGCATTAAAAAAAAAAAAAGGTGATAGGATTTTTCAACTTAGTGTGCATGTACTGGTTTATCAGGATCGAGCCTATTATACGAAAGCACTTGACGTCTGTTTTAGTAGCAACCTTCAGTGCGCACACTTCTGGACAGGTGTTCCCAGGTGTCCTGCACAAGGATAGTGCAATACATTGCTTTGCATTCGTCACATATTTGGATGGGTAAGAAGCACGCTCTGATCCTGCACACATTGGCCCCAGGCAAGATGGCTGCGCATATAGCAGCTGGGGAAAGCTATACAGCATACACATAGAAAGTTAGCCTCATATCTTAGGAATTTCTCCATACCCACCTATCGACGTTTATTTTCCAGCTAGATTAAATGTATTTCCATCGGAAGTTCTAAATCATGGGTAGGCAAACTAAGGCCTGGGGGCTGGATCCGGCCCAATCGCCTTCTAAATCCTGCCCGCGGACAGTCCGGGAATCAGCGTGTTTTTACATGAGTAGAATGTGTCCTTTTATTTAAAGTGCATCTCTGGGTTATTTGTGGGGCATAGGAATTTGTTCATTATTATTTTTTCAATATGAGCAAGCAAGCAAGAGATCAACTGATCAAACCTTTACTAGCAAATTTGCTGGGAAAAACTGAAGCCTCCCATATTAAATACCTTCTGGAGGATAGGTCAAATGATATTGCACTGACCGTGGCAAAGTTTCTTTCGGAGGTCGCAAGAAACAAAGACCGTCACGCTCTAGACTTAACAAAATGACTACCTTGTTCTCTTTTGCCTGTTGTTTGGTTGTCTTAACTGTATCTTGTTTTGAAACTGGCTTGTGGGTCTATGGACCGCAATACACACACACACACACAGAGTCCCCAAACCAATCATTGGCAAGAGCCCTGAGCATCTCTGTAGACTCTACAGTTTAGAGGAAAGTGACACAGGTAACATCTGAATGCAAGCTCAGCTTCCTCTTCCTGAACAGCTGGTCCATGTTGGGGTGATATGCATGCAACCCCCCATTCCAGCTGCTGGATTGAGCCAGAAACCACATATATGGCATTATTTTATGCTACTCCAGCTAGCGCTGCTGTTTTCCAGAACCTAATCCAGCAAAAGGCAGCGGTAACTAAGTCCCTTTGGTAACCAACACAGAATGGTCTTGCGCTGTTAATAAAGACCCGTTGATTTCAATGGGAGTTCGCAGAGTTATATTTTGCTGCACTGTATTCTCTTGGCTTGAATTCAGAGTTCTGCGGGTGTGCTAAAGGCTCCCCCATGCATCTCACTGGAAGGTAGAGCTGTCGAAGACCCATGCCGCATTGCACCGTCTATTGAAGTGAATGGGGACTCTGCACAGATAGGAGCTCCAGATGCACATCGGAGCATCTGCAGAGTTCTGAATTTTATGTACTTATTTCTTATTACATTCCTATCCTGGCGAGCTCAAGATGGCATACATGGGTCTCCATTTCTATTGTCACAACACCCCTGTGAGGTGGGTTGGGCTGAGAGGCAGTGAGTTTCATGGCTAAGTGTGAAGTTGAACCCTGGTACCTTAGATCCTAATATGACAATCCAGCTGCTATGCTACACTGGCTCTCTGAATCTCACAGTGAGTCAAAACTAGCAATGTATCATTTGGATTTCTTTGCTTATTGGTACAAATAATCAAGCTGATGTACAGTACTGGATATGAAAAAAAATGCAGGGTGTCCTGTTTAAATCTGTGGCCTGAACTGAATGGAGGAAAACCATTGTGGTCTTTCTTTCTTTCTTTCTTTCTTTCTTTCTTTCTTTCTTTCTCAAATAATCACTGCATTTTTCGCTCTATAAGATGCACGAGACCACAAGACGCACCTAGTTTTTGGAGGAGGAAAACAAGAAAAAAAATATTCTGAATCTCAGAAGCCAGAACAGCAAGAGGGATCACTGTGCAGCGAAAGCAGCAATCCCTCTTGCTGTTCTTGCTTCTGTGATAGCTGCGCAGCCTGCATTCGCTCCATAAGACGCACACACATTTCCCCTTACTTTTTAGGAGGGAAAAAGTGAGTCTTATAGAGCAAAAAATACGGTAAATCAATCCGCCAAAGGGGGACAAAATGACGCCATGGACAGGACAAGGCCCCCACATAATGTGAATCTTCCCAAGAGGCCTGTTTAACCTTAAGCGTGAATTTTTATCTGCAAAACCCTCCAATTTTGGAAGGCAAAAGCCAGCCCCTGCCCTACCAGCAATGGAGCCAGCAGGTGGCGGTATTTGACGCAGGAGAGGACCACAAACTTCGAAGGCTGCTTCCTTCCCCCTTGGAAAATAAAATAAAAATAAATCAGTATAGCAGTTTGATATCATTAATTAGTGGCTCTGACATTTTAATTTAACTTCAGGAAAAATTAGTTTGCCTGAACAGGGAGGGCGGTGGGGGGTGGGATGGGCAGAGACATTAACCACATGAAACAGCATAGGAACGGGCTTGTTGGATGAGGCCAAGCCAATGACTCCACATTCTGCCCATCCTTCTGGGATGGAAGGCTGTTTGCTCCCAGCCTGGGGCACTCAGAGACATAGGCGCCGACTCCATGGGGCTTGAGGGGGCCCGAGCCCCCTCAAAAATTCGTTTGGGGGGGCTCTGCCCCCCCAATAATCTCCGGCGCCCCTCCAGCAGAGCGCCATCGCCGCCCCTCCCCCAGCCCAAAATGCACAGGGAGGGGCGGGCTGCATGCCTCCTGCCCTCCCTCCCGAGCAAAAGCTCCACCCAATTTCCTTTGGAGCTGATTAATAGGCGCAGCACGCTCTCCCCTATTCGCTCACGAGGAGGCGGCGCCACTTTATTTGCATATTCATGAGCTTATTTATTATTCATGAGCTTTCCCGGGCCCCCCCAATATTTTTTATAAGTCCGCGTCCCTGCTCAGAGATGCACTGCACCTCTTCAAGAAGGTTCCACCGTCGACATCCACTGACAGACCTCCCGGACCTTGAATTTTTCTAACCCAGACTATTTAAACCAGTTGCCCTCCTCACACCCGGCCCCTACCAGCAAATTTCAACAAGTAATCATTTGCACCAACTGAAAGGAGGGCTCTCTCCTCTCCCCCACCCCCATATTGAATATTTATTTATTGTTCATTTATCTCATAAAACGTATACACCGCTTGCTTGTAAAAACCCTCAAAGTGGTTATGAAAAGATAAAACAATAAACTTGAGAGAGAAATCACAAGTCTGCAAAAGTTAAAATACTGAAACGGATTACAATGACCTCAAGTTTCTAAGCACCAGAGTCGGCTTGTCTGAACGGGAATGTTTTTAGCAGGCTCCGAAAAGAATAAGCGCCTGCTGGATCTCTATAGACAGGGAGTTCCAAAGTTCACTGAACGATCGAGTTCTTACAAACATGAAATGGCTTGGCACCTATAGTGCTGCCAATTCCACCGACTGAAGTGGCTGTGTGGGCACATGGCAAAGTGATCTCCTGGGCAAACTGGCCCCGAGTTGTTAAAGGCTAACGGTAACATGTCAAAATTGACCTGGTAGCAAATCGGCAACCAATGCCAATCTGTGGGCCACAGGCGTTCTATGCCGACAAGGCCTCACTCCCGTCAGCAATCGTGCTGCAGCATTCTGCCCCGACTGCAGCTTCCGGATCAAACGCAAAGGAAGGGCCCCCAAACGGCGCATTGCAGTAATCCAGTCTCGAAGATTTGCCGTTCTGGTTTGAGGAGCCCTGCGTAATGTATTCCTGCATTTCAGATCTTAGCATCTTGCCCAAGCATTGCGCATTATTCTGTAACCATCTGTTTCGGAGATGACACAAAAGGATGGCCCAGTGCTGGGCTAAGCACATTTGCAGCTCAACCCTATATATGTTTACTCAGATATGTTACACCATTGAACCCTACTAGGTTCAATGGTGCTTACTGGCAGGTAAGTGTGCATAGGATTACACTGCAAAAAACAAAACAAAACAAAAAATATGTTGATTTGAATGGGCCAGATCCAGATTTAGTGATGCTTGCAGCAGCCGCAGTGAACTGAATATGACTAACTTTAAGTCCCAACGATTTCAGGAAATATACTCACTGGTAAGCCTAGATTCAAGCTAGTGGGTTTAAGACCAGGCTTAACTCTGTGTTGGGTTGTATCTGCGGGTCTTTAAACTGCCCCATAGTTTTGGGGTACACAGAAGTACATTGCAATACAAGTACATAGATACACACATAGCATGTACCCTGGTTTTAAAATATATGGGTTGTACCCAGCTAAGCTTTACTCAAGAGTAGACCTACTGGAACAGATGGGCCTAAGTCAGTCTTGTTCATTTATTTAAGTGGGTCTCCTTGGAGTAGGGCTAGCATTGGCTACACCCCTCTGTATACTTTGTAAGCCGGTTGTGTGACGCGAAAAGGGAAACAGAAATCTCGGCAGCAGAGTGGGTGCCTCAAAGCAAGGACCGTTAGAGGCAAGCACACTCCTGCGATCAAAATAAATCTGAGTTAATTGCAAGTGATCAGAACAAGATGCCAGTAAATCCATCTAAACCACCTGTGAGAAAAACAACAACAACAGATGAGAATTAAAACGTTATAAGTCTTTAACCAGCAGCCTTTATTTATTTGGGGTTGGTTTTTTTCCAATAGCATGGAAATACGTACTGGGGGGGGGAGGAATCAGAAGAGTAATTCTGTTCATAACCAATCTTTGCACAAAAGAAAAACCAACAGCCTTAAAAATAGCAATAATCCCGTACAAGACAAGCCACCATGAATTAAAGCTGCATAAGAGCAATAAACAATAAACTTTCAAGGGAATAATTATAGATTTCCATTAATAATGTAAATAAATGAATAAGAATGCATCTTTTTGGTATTTCAAAGTTGTTCTAGTGTCCAGTGGCATAGTGTGGGGGGTGCAGGGGGGCTGGCCGCACCGGGCGCAACATCTGGGGTTAGGGCAAATCCACGGGTTAGGGGGCGCAAATTACTTGCCTTGCCCCGGGTGCTGACAACCCACACTACGCCACTGCTAGTGTCATCTAATTTAGCTGTCCTCTGGGCGGGGAATACTTAGATGTTATTCAACAGAATCATATGAAAGGCAGACTCAATAATATCATGGCCTTGGCTGTCTTAAGTCTGCCAGTTTCCATTGATATGATGTCGTCGGAGACCATCAGTTTATTTTGCGAAAATTTAAAGAATCGCTTCTGGAAATACCCATTGAAGCAGAAGGAAGGGGGGAAATGTTCTGTTATAAGGATGCATTTGGAGACCAATTTCAGCTAAAGCAGGGCACACACACACACACACACACACACACACATGATTTGCCCCTAAGACGCCTTGCCTCAATGCAACAGAAGGAAGGAGAAATGGCCTGTAGATGGATGGATCCTAGAATCAAATGGATGGATAGATCTGTCTCTGGATCAATTATGTCCCACCACCTCATCCCTCGATTAAAAAAAGCAATTGCTTGAACCTGGGAGAATATTCGCAGCTACAAGCCAGGGTGGCTCTGGGTCATCTATCCCAGAACGTGGAGCCCTCCAGTTCTGGCGGACTACGATACCCATAATCCATGTCCATTGGCCAGGCTGGCTGGGGCTGATGGGAGTTGGAGTTCCACCAACATCCCCAGGGTCTGGGAAGGTCGTTTTAGGCTGTGACAGGCCACTGGGAGCCTGTACAGTGGTACCTCGGGTTAAGTACTTAATTCGTTCCGGAGGTCCGTTCTTAACCTGAAACTGTTCTTAAACTGAACCACCACTTTAGCTAATGGGGCCTCCTGCTGCTGCCGCGCTGCTAGAGCATGATTTCTATTCTCATCCTGAAGCAAAGTTCTTAACCCGAGGTAATATTTCTGGGTTAGCAGAGTCTGTAACCCGAGGTACCACTGTACTTTGGTGCTTTCTGGTGGTAGAATTGAAAGAGGTGGGTGGGAAGGTGTAAAAGGCGACCCCTGCTGGAATCTGCCAACATAGCAGCCTGACTTTATATTCGGTGTCCCCGGCCCAAGGGGGACTCTCTGGGTGCGGGGTGGGGTGGGGAGAGCGGGGAGGGGGGGGCTCTTTCGGCTCAGCCTTTCTCCTCTTCTGCCCTTGTCGTGGTTGCGGCGCTCCCTCTAGTTCTGGGGAGACCCCAGCTGCTCTCCCCGTTGCAAGTCTGGGGTTTGCAAAAGGAAAGAGGGACATTGGGGTTGGGGTGGGGGCAAGAGGCAGGGGTTCGTAGTGGCGCCCCCCCGATCTCAGCTGGGATGTCACGGGGACCCTGCTCTTGGCATTCACCGCGTGCCTTAATTGTATGGACATTAAATCAAGGTCCGCTGTGAACACGCAGAGAAGTGCCCGGGAGTGAGGGGGCGTGGGGGGAGACCTTGGGAGGGGAGGGACAAAGCCAAGCAAGGTGGGGGCGAGTTGAATAAAGTCAAGGGCATAATTAGGATAGGGACAGCAAGCCTGGTCCCTCTGCTGCCCTCCCCGCCACCAACCAACACACCTAACACAACGCGGCCATGTAGACTTCCATAAGAAGCGCATCCGAAGCCACCGGGTCCTGCACGCTGGCGCCCCCTACCGTTTCCCAAAAGCAGGCGCAACCTTGCACCGAGACTGCAACGCGCGCGTACTCGCATAAGATGTCCTCACTTCATTTTAAACACAGAGATAGTCCCTTTAGCACACGCGTGTCAGTGCACACTCATAACACACGCAGGTCAGTGCGCACACGTAACCCCAGCTCTGTCACACATGCAGTCATACAACGAACCACTTTCTTGCTGTTCCGCAGAAAAACCTAGTTTTTACGCGGGCACGCACGCACGCAGGCACACACACACACACACACACACAGAGAGAGAGAGAGAGAGAGAGAGAGTCTGTCTTAATGCAGAGAAAGGACAAATAACCTTCTTTGCACGCGCCCATATCCACACACACACACACACATACACACACACACACCGCACTCTGGACAACACAGCTCAGGGTCATAACAGCGACACATCCCTCTCTGTATTCGTCCCTGCGCAGGCCGAAGCAACCACACAAGCCAGCCTCCCTCCTGCGCAGGTTGCAGTGACGGCGTGTGCTTAAGCAGGGTATCCAACCGAATAAATCAAAGATACGCAGAGCGAGGTGGATGCATTGCTCACCTTATCCCACAATAAGCAAAAGCGCGTGGGGGGTGGGGTGGGGAGGCGCAGAGGTCTCCGAAACACGCGCGGGTACGCGCATCATTGCCCAGCGCGCGCACTTTTGCGCGCACGTCTTCCTCTTCTCCACCTTTCCCAAATCCTCTCCAGTCCAGAGTGCCCTGCACACATTCCCCCTCTCTCTCCCATCCCAAGGAAGCCTCCACGAACACCATCGTGAAATTTTGCAACGAGCCTGTTGTAATATTTTAAAAGGAGCGCAAAGCTCTCAGAAATTGCTGCTTAGCTTAGAGAGCGAACCTAGGAAAATGGAGCGTGGCAAACGCACCCACGCGCACAATCACACGCAGGGTGTTTTATATATATATATTGTTTTCCCCCACCCCACAAGAAAATAAAACATTATAAACAGCAGCCAAGGGCACCCCGAAACAATCTGCTCCAGAATGCAGCAAACGGCTTTAGATGAGTCCCAATCGCACAGTCAGGAAGGTTTAAGATTTAAGGAGTGGGGGAGATAGGAAGAGAAGATGGGACTTTATCTAAGCGCTCCCCGAGCAACTCAAAGAAGGCCGCAGAGGAGCTGCAACGCCAGGCAACTTCGCCTGACGCCCCGATCAGCAAGCGCGCCATCCATCTCATCACAGGACACTCAACAATTGCAGAAATCGACCAAGCCTTTGCCTCGACGGTTAAAAGCCTGCCCCATGCGCCGAATAAAATCCCGAGTAACACTTGCGCTTTCCCAAAAAGCCATAAAACGGAATCTAACAGAAAGCAGCGACTTAAAAAAATTAAAAAAGAATATTAGAAATAAATATATTTTTTAAAAATCCTCATATGCAATGGAGTGACTTGCCCCCAGGATCCAGAAAGGTGGGAGACAACGAGGTGGAAATCTACCCTGAGCAGCTCAGGTGGGGTAGACAGACTCAAGGAGAAAATGTCAAAAGTTTTGAGGCAAAGCGTTTGGGGATTTTTTTTTTTTTTGTTTCTCTAAAAAAGAAGCAGCAGCTTTGATTTTTCAGATTATCGCCCCACCCCCACCGCCGTCCATCTGCTAATTTGGATAAGAAAGGACGGCTGCACTCAGTCTTACAATTTGCAATACGCGCGGGGGGGGGGAGATGTTAGAAAAAAGAATCCGAATTCGTGCCAAATAAATTTGACTGCTCCCCCTCACCCGCTTCCCCAATGCCACTCACCTCCCTCCCCCACAACATTTGCAACCGATATACTAACAGGACTCAAATTAAAGGCGTTGATCTTCCGATGGTGAGGGGGGTGGGCGCCATGTCCGTTCGCCGTCAGCCACCAGCCCCCAGCCTCGGCGTTAGCCGATTCAGCGCAGGCTGGTTTTTTTTTCTTTTTTCTTGGAAAGCCCATTCCGACCGAAGCATCTCCGGGACCCACAAAACTCGCCTCTGGTCCAGCGCCTGGGCGCGCGCATCATTGTATTTTTCTCTCGCGCCCAGAGAATTACGTTAAACGCATCTCTGAGGTTCTGTTTTGTTTTTTAACCCACCAAAATCAAACAAAAAAAATCTTGCAAAAAAAATATCTGTCGAAAAGACCTTTTTTGGAGAGTCATTTAGCTATTTTTATTTTAAAAAAAATAATCAGGTGCTATTTTTCTCTCTTTGAACGAAGAAAGCGGCTCTTGTCGGAGGACGCATGGAGAAGCGCCAAAATTGCAAGAATATAAAGATTTTTTTTAAAAAAACACACGGCAAAAACCAGATTCCTTTGCCGGCTGATCCGCTTTGCAACGAGGAGCGAACAGGCTTCCTACGCGCCGCCGCCGCCCTCTTCCGCCTCTCTTTTCTCTTTCCTCCTTTCCGTCCTCCAGCGCTCTTTTTCAAAAGACGCCCTTTCTCTCTCCACGCCTCCCCCTCTTAGATCTTCCTAGGCTAGCAAAGGAGGGCTTGGGGAGAGAGAGGGAGGCGGTGGGTCCTCTCTAGTCCTGGCTGGCTTGTGCTGGTCCAAGCTAAAGGGTGAGACCTTCTTCCTCTCTTCTTCCTCCTCTTCTTCCTTTCTCTCTTTCTCTCCCTCCCTCGCTCTCTCTCTCCATCCATCCCAAGCTCCGGAGCGCATCTGCTGATTGAGGTTCAGCGCAAGAGGATTACATTGGGACGCAATGACGTCATGGCCAGGACAGAAGTTCGCTTCCATTAGCCAAATCCTCATCAGCAAAGATGCCCTTGAAACTGCGGGAGGGGGGGAGGGAGAGGGAGATGGGGGGGGGCGAGTTTGGAGGTTGGCCGGGTGGCTGGGCCTCTGCAGGATTTGGGGAGTGAGGAGGGATGGGGTTGGGGTTCACATCTCCAAGGTGATTTTTTAAAAATAAAAAATATTATCATTTTGCATGGTAGAGGCGGGTGGGTGGGAGGTTA